TGGGAACGCTGGGACTCAAGAAACGATAAAACCACGTAAAACAGAAGGCAAAAGCATCAGCCAAACATACTTATAAAAGCTACGAAAGATATGGAAAAGGGGTCAACAAAGAGGTGAAGTTAATTATGCGCTAGATGACATAGGGCTCTGCACTCGTTGAGGCGATGGATGAGGAGACTCTTGCTCGTTCACCACTGAGAATACGATACCCTGAAAAAAAAAACACGATAGAAGTGCTGACAATAATGTGAGAAACAAAAAAATTGATTGATCTCGTTTGTAAACATATTTAGGCTTATGAATTATTGCATTTTTTAAAAAACTTCTCAATAATTGATTGTCGCCCCAGCAACTTTTTGCACCATTTACTAGGTTGGTGCAAAAATTTCTGTCTTACCGTTTTTATATGAATTATCTTCTTGTTCAATCGACAGATTTGCACAAATTTAATTTCACTAGTTGGAGAAAATCATCTATCGTTTTATTCTCCTGCTTGCATTCGAAAGAGCCTTAATTTAACCTAGATAAAGAGCAGCAAAGGCACCTACAATAAATATGAATTCTTCCAACTAGTAAAACTTCGTGCAAACACTTCGAGTGAGCAAGAAATTATGATTTTTCGAATAGTGCAACGGACTTTTGCACAAACTCCACTTTTATATGGGAAAAGTGTCCCTAACTTGAGATTTATCTCTGCCGGTAATATAATCACCATAAACTCTGATTTTCCTAGTAAATTAGAGAACCACAATGTAAAGGTGTTAGATTTGCATTCGTGCGCTGGGAAGGCCCTCGGTTTTCAGCTACTTGCAGATTTTTGGATTAAGCTAACGATTCTTTATATATTAGATAGATTTATGCATACAAATGTATGCTTATGGTCTGTTTTTTCATACTAACAGTAAAAAAGAATAAAAGTTTCTGAAGATTCATAATAAAACGATGAGAACATGGGTTCCTACTTTAGAATCATCAAGGCTGGTGTGAAGGTCTGGCTCTAGTTCTTCCTCGGTTAGGTTTACGGCAACATCGTCAACATCAGAAGGAATATCCGTCAATTCGCAATCTGCTAGTTCCTCCTCTTCCAGCAATCGTGAGTGGTCGGTCTGCAAACAAGCAGTATCAATCCTGAGCTTCCTCAATGGATCGATCGGGTCAATCACAAATCGAGCATGTCGTGCACATGGTGCATTTACACAATTTATACAGGACGCGTGAAAAGCAAAGTGTCTATTATATACAAAGATATTTTCTTCGTTTCTGAGTGGCTCATAACATCAACATATGCTACTCCGTTTCCGCAAAAACACGCGCAAATGACATAAGCGAGTCTAAAAATTACAGCAAATTTTACCTCATCAGCTCTTTTATCTGCTGTAGATCTCTTCGGACGGACTGAACTCTCCCGTTCGTCATGTGATCCCGCTCCGTCTTCGCTGTGATCACTCTCCTATAATTCGTAATCATTCATGAAAAGAAATTTTGGAAAATAATTAATTCTTACTGGATGTTCCGTAGAGAGCGATCGTCCTTGCCGTAAACCTCTCCCTTCCTTATGGATAGAAATGGAGTCAGTAATGGTGGTGTACTCTTCATGCCGCCGCCTCACACTTCTGAGAGGGACAAATAAGTAAACCAGTGCAAAATAAAATCAGTCAACTAACCCTATCTTCATGGGAGAAGGTAGCGGAGGATCAAGTGACAACATACTGCCACATTTCCTTTCGTACGGACGAGGAGATAGCAGATTAGGATCGTCGGTGGAACCATGCTGACCTGTAACTACTGATACCACTAGATGCTCATCATTATGATGTAAAATTTGTTCACATACCGGTACCAGATACGGTATTCATACGCTTTCGTCGATGTATCGGCAGCGGAGCGAGACCTTCAGAGCCAGCGTCAGACACAACAAGTACAGATTGGGAATGCTGAAAGTAATTCTAAAGGGATTGTCCACCGACATCGGAGTTGATAATATCTTGATATTTAATAGCGAGGCCCCCAATTTAGTAATTGCCCAAGTCTCACTGTAGGTGAAGTCCAAAGTGAGGAAAGCGCGTTAAATGCGAGTGCTGCCTGGGATCGCCACGCCCACCAGCTTGAGTGACACGAAGGGAAAAGATCCCGAAACTGGACCCAATAGTATATA